CAACCCTCGCACCCATCCCACCCCCACCCCGCTTGCCCTTCCAGAGATATTTCATGCATATCCATTTCCATGCACTAAAAGCACAAACAGCATACTATGCATGCTGTTCTACACTTGCTTTTTTCACTAAACATATACTTGCACATAAGAGCTGTCTCATTATATTTTATAAATGTATACTATTCCATTGAATGGATAAACCATAATTTATTTAATCAGTCCCCTAATGGTGGACATTTCCATTGTTTCCTATCTTTTGCTATTAAAAATATGCTATAATGAATATTCTTGTGCAAATGTTATTTCATACTGTATCTGTGGAATTATATACCTGTGAGCTAAATTCTTAGAAACAATGGCAATTTGTGGGGAGGATGACGGTGGATGGGTGCAGGATTGGACACGTTTCATTGTATCCCCCTTTTGTGTCTCTTGGAAATTTGTACCATACGTCTTACTCAAAAAATAAAATATTTTTAAATACAGCTGCTGGCCATAGACTATTTAAATGTTCCTTCTCTTCATATATTTACCTACATTTTACAATTAAAGCCAGATCATTATTTCAAAACTTCTTAAAGCAAACTTCCCTTAAGCAGTCCTGTGGCATTTCTGTGGAGAACTGGCAGGTGGATTTTTAAAAAATCATAAATATCAATCCTAGATACCTAGAAAAGTAGAGTTTCCTGCCTTCGAGACAAACATACAAAACCATAATAATGTTGCAGTGGACAGTGTTCCCTGCCCACTGCAAGTTGTAAGACATCAGCTCAGGGCCAGAATTTAAGAGAGAGCTACACCATGACCACCAGTGCTGCCCACTTCTCTACACAGGGTGATCCTGTCAAATGTCAACCCTCTACTAGGATGCTTTATAACAAAAGGCCACAAGAATAGGGCTCAATTCTCAGAAGAAAAATAGTATCTTCTTGGACACCTACTTTAGTAGTCCTTCCTAATCTTTTACTTCTGAACCTGTTTTCTCCTGATTATGAAAGAAACAAAGGGTAGTTGGGACACCTATAGTTTTCATACCACTAGTCACTATCAATCATATAACTAAAGCTTCATACCGCAACAAGGTAAGATCTGGACGCTGACCAAGAGGCCCCCTCTTTGGAACAAACAACATAAAGCTATTCACAACATAAAGCAGATCCAAGGCTCCCCTGCCTTTGCTTCCTGCACTATTATATTTTGCTAAGGCAAACGTAGGGCATGCTGCCCCAGGCACTCACTAGCTTGCATAGTGAGTTTAAAAAAATCAATTCTGCAACAAATAGGGCCTTGATAACCTCCCCTTGAAAGGGAGGCAAAAACAAACAAAAATACCTTCCAATTGATGCTGAAAGAGTATAAATGAATTAGCACAGTGAGCAGCAGTATTTGTGAAAATATCTGCCCACTTTATGGCCTGCCAGGAAGGCGGCATCTGGTCAGAAAGTGCCCCTGAAAGGTCCTAACCCTGTTTCACATTGCTGTTTACTCCAAGCAAATTGCCTGTCACCACTTGATGCTATCATTTCCCCATGCCCCATTATTAAAATTTCTGTCACTCACCTCCAATGGAGACTTCCTGTAACTCTGAAGTAACAAGAAGTCTCCGTTGTTACTTCTTGTTACTCTGAAGTTCCCCCAGAATAAGATTTCACACAGAAATCCACCCTTTCTAAACACAAAATTCCATTTTTCTCATTAACAGTAGGTACTTAGATATAGGCATTCTAAGGCATCCTGTTCCTAATAGGCCACTACAACTCAATGGTTTAGCTACTAAAGCTATTATGCTTATGCTCACTGGTAGCAATTTTTTAAAAAATGTTTTTATTGATTTCTAGAGAGGAAGGAAGAGGGAAAGATAGAAACATTGATGAGAGAGAAACATCATCCATCAGCTGTCTCCTGCACTCCCCCCACTGGGGAATCGAGCCCACAACCTGGGCAACCGGGAATTGAACAATGACCTCTTGGTTTCTGGGTCAATGCTCAACCACTGAGCCACACCGGCCAGACAGCAATTTTCAATGTTTTAGTAAAGTTACACACAGACATTTCCATGGCATACTGGTTTCAGCCTATGAAAACCTGCTAAGAAATCTGCTCAGGTTTCTGAGTGTACCTTCTTTCCTCTTTGTACACATTGTCTACACAGGATAGGTTTGTTTTCTCGAAGTCCTAGATTTTCCCATGATAAAAATGTAAGCATCTAAGTTTCTATCTCAAATACTTTTTTAAGTTTATCTTTATTGTTGAAAGTATTACAGATGTCCCCTTTTCCCCCCAATGACCCCCTCTACCCCCTCTATTTTAGATACTTTGTCTCTAAATTCTGTATTTCCATTTTTTAATGGTAAATTCTTTTATTGAATGACCTGAATTCTAATCTAGTCTAGAAATGTTCCAATCCAGGCCAGAAATGCAAGTTTTTACTGTAACAAACTTTTAGGCTCTGGAGGAAAAGATGGGTTTAACCAATAATTCTTCCAGAATCAACTTGGGTGTGGTTTCCCCAACATTAGCATTTATAAGTCATTCATCCTGGTGGTGGTATTTTTCGTTGTCAGTCCATGCAGTTCTGGCTCCCCCAGCAGTCATACACATACCACAACAATTTCTAGCTCTGTAGCCTATTTAAATGCCATACCCAAACAAGTACTTTAATTTTTTTTTAATCCTCACCCAAGGATATGTTTTTATTGATTTTTAGAGAGAGACTGATGTGAGAAACATTGATTGGTTGCCTCCCATACATGCCCCAACCGAGGATCAAACCCACACCCCAGGTACATGCCCTGACTGGGAATTGAGCCCTCTCCAACCAACTAAGCCATCTGCCCAGGGCTCAAACAAATACTTTAAAATTCATTGGAATTTGTGGCTTAAAATGCTTTTCCTTCAGTAATCCTAAAGTGAAGTTGCCAGGTTTAATAAAGAAATATACAGGATACCCAGTTAAATTTGAATTTCAGATAAACAACAAACAATTTTTAGTATATCTCATGCAATATTTGGACATACCTATACTAAAAATTATTTACTGTTTATCTGAAATTCAAATTTAATTGGGCATCCTGCATTTTATCTGGTAATTCAACCTAAAAGAAAATCCCTGAGTTATCTGTTATCTATTCCAACAAAGGGACCAGTTCCTGCTATGCACAGACCAGAGATGTTTACGCCATAAGGCAAGTGAAGCAACATACCCTTAAGAGATTCAGTCACTAAATGATCACAGAATCTTGAAATGTCTGTGGGACTGCAGGGGCTATTTTTCAAGTAATTAGGGTATCAGTGGGAGTTAGGTCTGTTTTCTGAGTGATGGGCTTTTGGTTTTGTGAATCTAAATTCTGAGCGTGTAAGAGGGCATAGAATGGATAAATGGTGATGAAAATAATAAAATAAAATTTAAAATAAAATAAAATTCTGAGTGTGAGAAAATGTATCTGCCTAACAAATGGGAAGTAGACCACGAACTGCATAGGAAATAAAGATAAGTCAAGGAGAACATTCAGGAAGGGTGAGATGAAGATGAGAACTTTTCACTTGCCTTTCTCATCCTCTCTGGCCTAGTAACAAGTGTTCAAGCTACTTAATCTAAGACTGATCCAAAACACAAGTAAATAAGGACTTTCTGTAAAATATAGCTTTTATACATAGTTTTACATATATGTATGAGCACCTCTGAAGGCCAGAGAAGTAACTCAAATTTTGGAACCTTGGAGGCTCTACAGATTACACTGCATTTCAACTAGTTATTAAATCAGGTAACGGCATCTAGGGCCTTGGCTTTAGAATTGTGCAGGGGAAATTAAGTCAAGAGTAACAGCTTCACATTCTGAAAATAATGGTGGCAAAACACAACAATCCTGAATTGAGGGAGGGACATGATTGGAAGGAAACCACTAAAATTCGACTAATCCCAGGTTCCTCCAATTGGTACCAATGGCAGCAATCTCTAGGTCACCTGTCATCGAATCAGAGTTTGACAGAGAAGGATGACCCACAGGAGCAGCCTTTGTCAGCTTGAGGATTGTTCAACACTTGAAATGAGCTTCGGATCAGTTCTTGGCTGAAGTCCACCTGGGCCCCTTTCACGAAGGCCAAGCTATCAGAGTCAACCACCACTTTTGCCCCACCCTGTTCAAATACCCTGAAGAAAAAAACAGGAGAGAAGCATTAATGAATATCATAAACACCAAAAACATGACACCCTCTGAGCCCTGATGTGAGAGGTGCACGTTGTTTTCTGAAATTGAGGAAGCATTCCTTATTACCTCCAAAAGGTGCAGATGTTGAGGCAAAAAGATTCAATGGAATGAATACTGGGAAATGTTGAGATTTAGGCCTGGAATCCGGTCCAGCCTAACTCTATCAACTACCCTATGGACCCAGGCAGGCCAATTCTCCTCCTATAACTTAGTAAATTTGAATATCATAAACACCAAATCTTCGAGACAACAAATCTTCACTGTATCCCCACTGTGTGAGAAGGGTGGTGTTAAGCAACTTCAGCAAACCTTTTAAATTTGGGATAAAAGTGCACCTTAAACTGGACACGCTTTTATCCCTCCCGCTCGGTTCTCGAGGACCCACCCCTTCCTCCTTGCCTGTCGTCCGGGTTGATAACTGTATCCAGTGAAAATCTGTATTGGAATCCGGAGCATCCACCTCCCTCCACCTCCAGCCTGAGGAATTCTGAGCCTTGGGTGATTTCCAGGAGCCTCTGAAACGCAGGAAGAGGGGATCCGGAATGCTAGGCAAGGGGAGGCAGAAGGGTGGGCCGAGGGGAGGGCCCTAGTCAGGCCACCGCCGCCCCTCTTACCTGGACGCAGCTGGCGGTGAGGTGAATCTGCCCTTCGCCAGCCTCGGGGCTGGAGGACGACGCTGCCCGAAGCGCCTGAGGTCGGGCGGAAGCCCCGAGGAGCCTGCCACGCGCAAGGGAGGACGCTGAGCCCGCGAGCAGAGGGGCACCTGGCGACCCCCATCTGGACAGAATGAAGCCAAACCTGACGACGCCCACCGGCACTGCCTCACGCCAAACGCGACGACCTCCAACTGGGCAGCCTCCCGCCACACCCTCACCTCCCCCGTGGACCTTAGTTTCCGCTTAGTCCTGGAAGGCGCAAAACCTACTAGATTTCCCAAGTGCCCTTCTAGGCTTGGTACCTGCTCCTCCACCAGGGGGTGACGGCTCTCAGCGCCGCCGCCGACAGGGATAAACCCCGGGCGGCCGCCATCTTCCTCCACAAACCCCACCCCTCGCGTCATCCAATCCCCTTCTCCGCCTGGGCCTCGGGAGGCGGAACCCACAGAGACCCCCGCCTCCGAGCACGCCGATTGGGTGGTTCGAGAGGCAGAGGAATTTTATTGGCTAGAAATGTTCCCATTGCGGGAGCGGAGACGCACGGGGCGGGGATGTATCCTCGCCCGCCGCGCCGCAAAGTGGACGGGGTGGGAGGAGACGGACCGGAGCCTGGCTCCCTGCAGCCGGGGGCGGGGCGCGGGCGGGCCGAGGCCTTGTTTGCTGGCGCGGGTCGCCTGACTGAGCTCCTCCCCGAGCCCGCCCCGCCAGGTTTATCTTGTGACTGCCGCGGCCGCTTCTTCCTTCCCGACGCTTGGAAGTTCCTTGGCAGCGATGTGTTTCTCGGCCGCCGCGTTCCTGCTCCTGGCGCTCAGCGCTTCCGCCCTGGCGGAGCCCGTGCATTTCAAAGACTGCGGTGAGCCCCGCACCTTGCCGAGGTTCCCGCGCTCTCGGCGGGAGTCTCAGCCCGAAGCTCGCGCGGAGACCCGAGCTAGGTTGGGCGGGTGCCGTAGGCTCAGCTTTGGGTCCCTCGTGGGGTGGGGTGCGGTGCGGTGGGGTGCGGTGGGGTGCGGTAGGCGAGAAGCGCCGGCCTCGAGGAAACGCGACCGCTCACAACTTTGTCTCTGCCCTTGGAACGCGTGTTCGGGGTCCCTGGACCTTCCTGGAGGTGGATGGACCTTTTGCTGAAGTTTCCTAAAGTTTGTAGGGCGGAACCGAAGGTCCATAGGCAGCGCGCGGATTGAGGGGTGGGGCGTAGGACTTTTGTGTTTGCCTTGTATCTCGCACGGCCTCTCCCTCCGCACTCTGTTCGCTTTTTATTTTACCTTTTGCTGACAAGTCAAAAGTCACTTCTCCTTTTCATGATTTTCTCCGTTAGCGTTACCTTTGGGCTCTGGAGTTTTGTGATTCCTCCTTTATATAAAATTCGTATTTCTGGTCACAGCTTGTGACACATAAGCCCCTGTTGCTGCTGAGGTTGGAATCTTGGATGGGAAATGCAAGAGGGAAGGGCGTAGGCATTGTGAGTTCGTTCAGTCAAGTCTATAGCATTAATTATTCCAGCCGAACTTTTCTGAAGTGGAGAGGTGCAAGGATAAATGGAAGAGGTATGACACTGATTTTGTAAAATTTGTGAGCTGGAAGGAAACTATCTAAAAGTCAGTCATTGAATTCCAGAGATGTTAGGTAACTTAACCAAAGTCACACAGCAGAATGGGAACCAGCATAAGTTTGCTCCTTTACATCCAGTTCCCAAGTAATAGTAACTGCTCAATCAGTATTTGTTGAAAAAGGAAATGAGGGAGTAAATACTCTTTCCACCATGTCATTAAAATTCATGTTGAAGCAAAAAGTTGGGGGCTAGGGAACAGATTGGTTAGGGAATAACGACTGCTGGCCTATTGATTTTTTTTTTTTTTTTTTTGTAAATTGAAGATTTTCTGTAGTGGTATGTTTTAATTTCCCTCTCTTTNGAGAGAGGAAAGGAGAGGGAGAGAGAGAGAGAGAGAAACCTCAGCGATGAGAGAGTCACTGATCGGCTGCAGCCCGCAACCCGGGCATGTGCCCTGACCAGGAATCAAACCCTGATCTCCTGGATCCCAGGTCGAAGCTCAACCGCTGAGCCCCGCCTGGCCGGGCTGGCCTATTGATTCTTAACAAATGCTGTTGCACTGAGCAAGGAGGTGCTGTTACCACCTCGGGTTACTGTCTTTCCCTCCATTAAATTTAGTGGCCAACATTTGGATGAAGACACTCATCCAGCCCTCACAATCTGTTTTACAGATGAGGAAACAAGCACATAGAGTCCCTTTCCCAAATTCTCACAGCTAGCAAGCAGTAGGAAACTGGTGTGTGTTTTTGAGCCACTTTGGGTTTCAACGGTAACATTAAACACGCACACACACACACACACACACACACACAACTAAGAAAACTAAATCCAGACATTGTTCTACTCATTTGAAAAAAGCAGGTGTACACCCATGGCAAGAACTTAAGGGAAGGTGCGTTTCAGTTACAGATTTTCAGTTGACTTTTGAATTGGGAAATACAATGTAAAAACTTCAGTGCCCACATCAAAAGTCTTTTGAGTTCCGCTGTGCACCCCCTTTTCCCTGGAGTGTCATTTCTTCAAGTGAGAAATAAGGCCAAGCAAATTAGTTTTGTAATTTTTGCAGGTTAGGACTGAGGAGTTTGTTCTGTTGACATTGGAAGTGCAAGAACCTCTTGTCAGCCAAAAAACTGGCTGAAGGAGCTACAAGTGCTACCCTTTACTCAGTTCCTTCTAGGTCGTGTGACCCAGCCTTGAAAGAATCTGGCAGAAGCTAGGCATGGAAAGCTTGAGTATAAGCACTGATTTTCAATAGGCCGTTGCTTAAAGTTCTGGATTTTCACCCCCCCATCCGTGGAAGATATGACAGAGTGAAACACAGTGCTTAGAGAATTCTTGAGTGTAGAGTTTGAGAACTTTTCCATGATGGAGAAGCAAACTGGGGATAAAGGACAAGCAAAGTATTTACAGACTAGCTGAAGCAGTGTTGGTCAGTGTGATGAAACTGTTCCACCCAAGAGCAGGCGCAGGCTGAGGAAGCAGAGGGCATCCACCTGAGCTGCTCAGTTCGTATCCTACAGGACAGAGCTAACCTGGTGACTTCAAAGCAGATAATGTGCTCTCAACCTTCAGTTCTTTCTGTCTTCATGAGTTCTACTTTAGAGACAGAATCCATTCTATCAGCTGGATCCATAATTTCTACCCACAAAGTATATTTGAGATGAGAGGCCCACCTTGTGTGGTAAAAGAGAACATGCTAACCCACTCAGGAGCAGGTAATCTAGATTAAATTTATGGACTGAATCCTGATATGATGACAATAGTAGTAAACGGTTATATAGTAGCCCCCCTTTATCCATGAGGAATACATTCTAAGACCCCAGTGGATTCCTGAAATCATGGATAGTACCCAACCCTATACAAGGTCAGGCAAAAATAGGTTTACAGGTGTTCATATGGAAAAGAATACAATAATTAATTAATAATAACAGAAGAATAAACTGTTTTGTGTACTCATAACTGTAAACCTACTTTTGCCCCACCCTGTACATACTGTTTTTTCCAGTACATACATATCTTTTCACATGAAGAAAGCACTTTACTGTGTCTCTCTGGAATATCTGAATTGCCAGCATCACTACTTTTGCTCTTTGGGGCTATTATTAAGTAAAGTAAGGGGGATGTGAACACAAGCACTGTGATACCAGGACAGTCAGCTGCTAACTATCTTGCTAAACAAAGAGATGAGTCATGGAGTGGGGTGAAATTTCAACATGCTATTCGAAATTTAAAACTTATGAATTGTTTATTTCTGGAATTTCCCATTTAATTTTTTTGGACCACAGTTGACCATGAGTAACTGAAACCGCAGAAAGAAAAACCACGATAAGGGGGCTACTGTATACCATTAGTATGTTCCAAATACTTATCTCAGAGCTACATGTGTGTTAGCTCACCTACTCAATGAGGTAGGGACTATTATTATCCCCAGAGAGGTTAAATATCTTGCCCTGAGGTTACACAGTAAGTAATGGAGCCATTACTGAGATTGGTAAGATTTTATATATATATATTTTAAACATATCTTTATTGATTTCAGAGAGAGGAAAGGAAGGGGAGAGACAGAGATAGAAACATCAATGATGAGAGAGTCGTTGATCGATCCCGCAACCCGGGCATGTGCCCTGACCAGGAATGAAACCCCAATTGCCTGGATCCTAGGTTGATGCTCAACCGCTGAGCCATGCCCAGCCGGGCGAGATTGGTAAGATTTTAAACCCAGGAATCAGGTCCCAGAGTCTACCTCTCAACGGAGATGGCTGAATTGCAGAGCTTACACTTACCCTGTTACAGGCAGTGTTGACCATCGGTTCTCTTGCATTCTTTCCCATTCAGCTGTCCAGCATCAGGGGCCTAGATGAGATAAATGGATTTTTAACAATTTGTACTTAACCTTTTCTGATCAAGCATTTATTGTAAATAAACAGCACTTTTGTCCCTTTTTAGACTGAAATTAAAAAAAAAAAGACACACCCTGCCCCGAAGATACTTACTTTGAAGAACACGTTTCCAAAGTAGAGTGTACACATCTGAATATTGCAGATGAGTGCTTAAAGTTGTTCTCATTGGTGGGGATATACAAAGCTTGAAGACCACTAATTTGGAGAAACACCAGTACAGGATTGGAAGATGGTGGAGGAGGGGAGTTTGAGAGCAGCCAGTCTCAAGATTCCAAATGGAAACAGTAGTGCTAGACTTGAGCCATCACTTGTAGGATGTGTGTGCTGCTTTAAAACCCTGTGGGGGTGCCCAGCTGGCATGATTGAGCAGTTGAGCATCGACCTATGATCCAGGAGATGGAGGTTCAATTCCCGGTCAGGGCACATGCCTGGGTTTCGGGCTCAACACAGCAGGGTGCGTGCAGGAGGCAGCTGATCAGTGACTCCCTCTCATCATTGATGTTTCTCTCTCTCTCCCCCTCTCCCTTCCTTTCTGTGAAATCAATAATATATATATATAATCCTGTGTGGGGATGGGGGGATGATTTTTCATGGTATAGCCCTCCCAGGTTATAGAGTAGGGGAGTGGCTATGTATACTTAATACCTTTCTTAATTCTCTTTTACCCATCAAATATGAACAGTTTCCTGGAGATCACCAAGCGTCAGAGGAGAAAAGCTCATCCTAACTGGGAGAATAGAGCATCTTCCCATTAGATAGGGACAGCCTAAGTGGTTTATTTTTTCTCCTATTTCAACTCATTTTTCTTTTGCAGGTTCTGAGGTTGGAGTTGTAAAGGAAGTGAATGTGATCCCATGTCCTGTTCAGCCCTGCCATCTGCAGAAAGGACAGTCTTACGCTGTCAATGTCACCTTCACCAGTAGTGAGTAAAAGTGACTCTTACCTTCAAATTCATCTTAAAGCATAACATCAATCCCGAGTTTTGGTATGAGCGTGGGAATGTGGGGGAGGGGAACTGCAGTCAAGAATTCTGTGACCTCCCTTCCAACCTGTGTCAAGCTAGGATTCGCTATACCCTTACACACCCTTCTCATATGGGATTCCCATATGCCTGTTTCCTAGAATCCAGACTCTAAGCAGAGAGAGATTTCCATGTGTTCTCAGGTGAGACAAGACAGCTTGGCTTCTCTATGTCCTATTTTAGGCCATATTGCACAGTAGCCTTTTATGGGAATGTCAGCCTTGTGTTGCCTCAGACTGCAGAGTATTAGTAGAGACCCCAATTCTGTAGACTTTGGAACTCCTCCAAAGTGTCATTTTAAGCAATATACCTTCTAGCTATTAATTCTATGTTCTGCCTCAAAAATACAGGAGCAATTAATACTTAGCCTCTGTAAGGTTTAGGGAACTCACTGAGGACCCAAGAAGCAATCAAGAAGTCTGAGAACTTTCTTTTAACTTGAAGAAATATTATTGGAACCTGTTGCTTTCCGGGACCACATTCATCACCTTCAGATTCCCAGGAATCTAGACTAATGCAAAATCTTTATTTCTAGAAAGGGCATCTCCCTTGAATTCCTCTCTCATTTTCTTTCCTATTGAACTAAACTAGACAGTCCAGTAGATCTCGGAGCACACTTTCCCATTCCATGGAAGACTGGAGAATGCGTCTCCCTGGCTGACCTGAAAGACCAGCCCAGCCCAGCCCAGCAGGAAGTGCTAAGCAAGGCGGGTCTTGGAGGAGCAGAGCAGAGCTGTCTGGCTGGAGAGGGGCCTGGCCCCAGGGCTGCCTCACAGCCATGTGATATCACAATTGAGCTGTTCTGCACTGAATCTAGTTCCTTCTTCACTGCACCTCTCTCCAAAAAAAGAAATCTCAAAGTCCCCGTCATCTCTTATTCTTAAGCCTAAAAACAGCTCTAAGTACTAGAGTTGTTTTCTCAAAAAGTACCTTCTAAACAAAAGTCAGCACTAACCTAGGTAGAAAGAAACAGAGCCCATTGCTTCTCGGCCTTTTGGCTGAGATCAAGTGTGGTATCTGTCCTTATGAGTTTAATATCTGATACGTCCCTTACCCGAGGACAATATATTAAATGGCTTTTTGGAGTAGGGAGATGGAATAGGAGCTTGCTCTCTCTACTCCGTTCATAGACCTGGTATTGCAGTACCTCCAGGAATGGTGCACCAAAAAAAAGAGAAAAGGAAAGCCAATACTCTGGATCTCCAGAATAACCTAACAGCTCATAATTCTGGTTGCCCTAATTTTATTATATTTATTTCTCCTGACCATCTTGTCATATGGAGGACAGAGCTTAGCATGAAATGCCCCCTTTCTAATCGTATCCAGTTTCTGAAGGTTACCTCGTTCTCTACTGTCACAGCCCATGGTATGTCTCTGTAGATTCCTTATTCTTTCCACATTTCCTTCTATTTAATTCTTAATTTCTAATGGAATCCTTTGTGTGGGAGTATTTGAGAGTTCAGAGACCAGTCTCCTAAAATTCTTTAAGATGCACAGTACACTTTGACAGAAACTGATGTAAATAGTAAATAGAAAGTTAACTGCCAAAAATCAGTTACTTTGTTGAATGAGGTTATTTATCCAAGTAGCTCTGGTTCTCCTGAGAAACTATGAAAAGCGGTGGACAAAAGCTTAATGTTCCTGAGGGCTCTCCCCTCCCCAGCATAAGAATGTAACTTTTAGATGAACTCAAACAACAACCTGTTCCTTACACTTGTTAACTTTCACTCCCTGCATTAGAAATTATCTCAAGCAACAATCTGTTCCTTACATTGAATAGCTTTCTACTCCTGCTCAGAAAAAGTGTGCATACACCAAAAAGTTCCCTCCCTACACCCTATAAAGAGACTACCTCCCAACCACTTAGGGCTGATGCCACTTGGAGCTCAGCCCATCTGTATTCAGATGCTTTAACCATCTGTGTATGCGGATGCCCTAATAAACTTACCTTCTTATCTGGCCTCGTGTTTTCCTTGGCAAGCCTAAGAGTGAAGAGCACGGTGGGGTTAAGAGCAAAGAAAACAACCCCCACTGATTCCTTTTTTTTTATGGTATAATTCAGTAATTTTTCAAGTTTTGGAGTAATAAGCATTTGCAGAGGTACAAAGCATAACTACAAAGAGAACTAGACCCTGGGAATTAAGAGCTATAGACTTTATGATTTGCTATAATAGCAATGCTGTTGCTTGAGAATGTATCAATTTTTAATTTAGAGTTTGGAAATACGCTGTTTTCTTCACTATCTGATTGTCTTTTTTTTCCCCTCTTAGGTACTCAGTCTCAGGGGAGCAAAGCCGTGGTGCATGGCATCGTGATGGGCGTCCCAATTGCCTTTGCCATTCCTGAGCCTGATGGTTGTAAGAGTGGAGTCAACTGCCCCATAGAAAAGAATAAGACCTACAGCTACATGGCTAAACTACCAGTGAAGAGTGCCTACCCCTCTGTGAGTGACTTGTTGACACTGGACATCTTGTGACTAGATTAGATATCTGAGGGGGGGGGCAGGAAGAAAAGATTGGAGGAGGAGTCCTTCCTTTCTGTGGAGGAAAGGAGCCTGAGGGAAGGAGATAAGTTAGAGTGTTAGGAATCATGAGGTAGGCAGGTATTTTTTAGTGGCCTTTTTTCTTTGTCTGTAGGCTAATGGTTAGCCATTTTTATATACAATATTTCACTGGATTCTCATGACCATCCTTTGTAGAGGTGATATAGAAGTGATATCCCTTTTTCACAGATGAAGAAATTTAAGCCTCCAATATTATGCAATATGAGCAGAGTCCACTCTGCAAAGGAATACTACAGCCTAGACTTAGAGCCAGGTCTTTTGACTTCAAAACCTGTATAGTATTAAAAGATTTTAGCCAGATATAAAATAATTCAAGATTTCAAGTTGTCATAACATGTCATCAGAAAAGTCCTGGTTTCTCCATTAATCTGTTAACAACAGAGCAGTAGCTTGTTAGCTCCATAGCAGAAAGGTAGCTTTTTCCACTCTTCTTTCTCCCCTTCACCCCCTCTACCCCCTGCCTTCACCTCTGACTCACCCTGCTATACCTACTTTTTTTTCTACCAAACATTTATAGATAGAGCCTGCTGAAATGGGCCTGTATTAAAAATATGAATCTTGATAAGAATGAAGGAAGTAAAGGGATTACTTTCTTCCAGTCCAATAGAACCCGGGAGCAATCTGGCTATTTTCTAGAAATGGCAATTAATTAAAAAACATTCTAAAAAATCTCTGATGTAGAGAGTCTGTGTTTAAGGGATGTCGGAGACCCTAAAGTTCAGGGACAGATTTGTAGATTAATTTGCAGAGTAGCCATATAATCGTGGGCATTTTGGAGCCTCAGTTACTTAATACAGAGTTTCTATTTAGGGCCTGATACATAGCAGGCACTTTCTATATGGTAGTTATTATGTGAATTCTTAAACTGTGTTAATTTAAGCACTAAGTGAAACAGTAATTAATGTGTACTTGTCTTGAAAGACTTATAAAACAAGGTTAGAGAAGCCTGGGTATCACTGTCACTCAAATGGTATGTGGTAAACAAACAGTTGAGTACACAAGAGAAGTAATAAGTTAATGTCCACATAAGAAAGGACCGGCAAAGTGTCAGTGAATTATTAAGAACTAGAAGGGACAGCTCATAGTATGATTATAACAAGTCAAAGCAGAGATCTGTAATGAGGTATATAATCAAGAAATGCTTTAAACCCTGGCTGGTATGGCTCAGTTGGTTGGAATATCCTGTACACCAAAAGGTCATGGGTTTGATTCCCAGTCTTCCCAGTCAGGGCACATACCTGGGTTGTGGGTTCAATCCCGTCAGGGTGCATGTGGNTAGATTAATTTGCAGAGTAGCCATATAATCGTGGGCATTTTGGAGCCTCAGTTACTTAATACAGAGTTTCTATTTAGGGCCTGATACATAGCAGGCACTTTCTATATGGTAGTTATTATGTGAATTCTTAAACTGTGTTAATTTAAGCACTAAGTGAAACAGTAATTAATGTGTACTTGTCTTGAAAGACTTATAAAACAAGGTTAGAGAAGCCTGGGTATCACTGTCACTCAAATGGTATGTGGTAAACAAACAGTTGAGTACACAAGAGAAGTAATAAGTTAATGTCCACATAAGAAAGGACCGGCAAAGTGTCAGTGAATTATTAAGAACTAGAAGGGACAGCTCATAGTATGATTATAACAAGTCAAAGCAGAGATCTGTAATGAGGTATATAATCAAGAAATGCTTTAAACCCTGGCTGGTATGGCTCAGTTGGTTGGAATATCCTGTACACCAAAAGGTCATGGGTTTGATTCCCAGTCTTCCCAGTCAGGGCACATACCTGGGTTGTGGGTTCAATCCCGTCAGGGTGCGTGTGGGAGGCAACTGATCGATGTTTCTCTCTCATATTGATGTTTCTCTCTCTCTCTCTCCCTCTCTCCCTCCTTCTCTCCCTCCTTCTTTCCCTCCCCCCCCTTTCCCTCCCTCCCCCTCTCCCTTCTTCTCTCTTTAAAATAAATTTTTAAAAATGGTTTAAGGAATTTAACTGAAACTATATACTACAAGGGTTGTTGTTCCTGAAATTATTCATACGGCAGTAAACTTCTTTGGACATCCTTTGTGCTTTGATAGTTTCATTTCCAACTAAAAGTAAGTTTCCTTATACCTAACAATCTCTGCTCTTCATGGTTACAGTTGGAAAAAGCTGGATCAGATTGCCAAATACAAGAGAAATTGTCTGATTGTAAAATTATTTTTCATGTAAGCCTTCATTTATGGAATAAATGCTTTAGAAATTATATTTGATAAGTTAACTAAGTTAGTATTTTAAGTTTAAAGACAGGCTGTGTCTACATCCCAAGCAGCTTTCCTGATGCCATGATTTAAGAAGAAAAGCATGAGGAACTAGGCAGTTTGTTAGAGTGTACTTCTAGGATTCATAGTTATACCAATTCTGGATCGAGATGAGATCCCAGTTTCATTTTTCCCAATTCTTTTTGTCTTTATCCAGATAAAACTGGTGGTGAAGTGGGAACTTCGGGATGACGAAGACCATTGTCTCTTCTGCTGGGAAATTCCAGTACAGCTTGAAAACTAGAGCTATTTAATGCCAGTGTGTCCGTCTGGAGATGAGAGAGCAAGAGTGGAGGGAGGGGAAGAGAAATCAAGTCTAAACTAAATCAGTGCCGTAAGAGGAAAGGAATTTCTAGACTGCTGTTTTATGCCTCTCAACCTCCAGCTGCATCTAAGACCCTGTTTCCGGAGAGCTCAGAACTGCTGCTCTTGTAATACCTTTTGTAAAAGCATTGAAGGAAAGGGAAGAGAGACAGAAACAGAGAGACAGACACTATAGGAATTGATGTAATTATCTTCAGTGTTTTTTGCTGTTGAAATAAGGAGGGTCCAGCCAGACAGGACCCGAATGAGGCTGCTTAGGGATATTGACCCTTGTAGTGAAGGACAGGTTCCAAACCACATTCCTCTAGCTGGGATGTTACATCTCCAAGTGCCTCATTGAGTTCAGTGCATCTGGCCAATAAGCCTGCTGACTTGACAGCACCTCCAGCTCCACTGCCTCAACAGTAATGACATGCTCTTCTGTGGTATCCAGCATTTCAGCGGAGGGGGGTGGTCTGAGATAGAAATTCAGCTCTGGGTGGCTGGTTCTCTGTGGTTATCTTATTTCTTCTCTGTCTTAGGTGGTTTTCATTAAATGCAAAACTTGATTAGCAGATGTTTGGTTTTTTGTTGTTTTTTTAACATTAATTTGTGACTTCTTTATGCACCTGGAAATGTCTCTTTGAATAATTAAAAACTTCGCATTTCTCTGCATTCGTACTTAGGTAACCTGCTTCTTTCAGAGTATTTCCCCCAGATCTATGCAAGGTGGCTACCGAGTCCCATGGTCCCAGAATGCAGTAAAGACTACTCTTTTGGAAACTGCCTTTTCTCCCCTTCTTGCCCAGTTAGACCTTACTTATCTACTTCATATGAAATGACCTGGTTTTGCTTTATTTTGCATAATCTTATACCACCAAGTGTTTGAAATGAGTAGTGAAAGCAAACATCATCTAGTTGAATAATAACATCTGAAAGGCCGAGGGAACAGAATTGAGACGGGAGGGTGAAGAGTAAGGTTACAAGTTGGCATGGAGCATAGTAGTCTTTGGGGAACGAACCTTCTGCCACGAGGAAAGCCTAGAAGCTTAAAAATGAAATGTGAAGTCACAAGTAATGGCTAAATTAATTAAACCTTGTTACTTGCTGCTTTTGAAATACAAGTATAATCAGGGCATATATTTTGCTGCCTGTTTTAATCAATGTACTACCAATCAGCTCTTAGCTGTCACAAGGATTACAACACTTCACAAGTGAGTTGGGTAATGTGGACCTTGAAAGGATTATCTGTTTTTGGTTAGGGTGTTTATACAGCAAATAAGTAATTTAGATCAGTTCTTTTCATCCCACTAATTTCACTAGAGCCTTGGGTTTCTTTGCTTGTGAGTTTCCCAGGAAAACCACCAGGGGACAGCCATAGATCGGGAATAAAGTTATCAGCAGCCAAGATTTACTAGTTAATTCCCAGAGCCATTCAACCACTGTACTCTTGGTCAGACCTTTTGTGTATCCCATCACATTGGGTCCAGAGGGACAGCCCACTCTCTCCCCATGATGGACCCTAGGTATATCAGGCTTGTAAGAATCCCAAAGGGATTCTCTGGTCTCTGGTGTCAGGCTGCCAGGAGTTGGATACTGGCCTCACCAATTAAGAGGACTACCAGTGGGATCTTTAAACCCCTTAACCTCCCCAGTGCTTCAGTCTCCTTATCTGTTAAGTGGGGATAATAGTAGGGCTTCGAAGATTAAATGAGGTGCTTGTAAAACAGTTAGAATGGCACATGGCACAGACTCAGTAAATGTTGGCAATTATTCTGGGATACACATTGCTCTTCATCTAGAAACATCAGGAAAATCTAATTCAATCTAATGTGTGGGGTGCCGCCTGGGAAAATGAGACCCTCCTCTGTGCACAGAACTTTTCAAGGTTCCTGGAAAAGCTGTTCTCGTGCGTCTGCGCTCTCCCTATTCCCAGAAGACTCCTCAGGTCATTGAGCTCCTTGAGGCTAACAGCCCCCCTCCCTATTTCATACTCCTACCCTCATATGGGAAACGACAGAAGAAAAGCAGTTCCGCTAGCTTGTCCCCTTCAGTCAGAGCAGAAGGGTAACACAGCAGCTTATAACTGTTTACAGGCCAGTGTGGGGCCACGTGGAGCCTGCAGCAGTGAGCTAGTTAGGGCTCCTGCGGGGGATTAGTTTGAAAGGTCGTCTTCAGTACAGATGGTTCACAGGTGCCCCCGGAGTCATTAAAACATTGAGAAGCACTGAAATTAGGCTATATATAAAAGGTCATGTTCTTTCCAGCGACAGTCTCATACTTTTCTAGTCCACTGAGCAGGCCATGGAGACTTAGACACATTGCTCCTTCATGAATTTCAGACTCCAGTCATTTTAAAAACACACACAGACACACACAAAAAAAAACATGAGAGGCACCCCTGCTTACAGAGTGAAGGGGACACAACACCTAGTATCCCCCAGTTTGGTAGAGTGCTAGGTGGGAGGCCTGGCATTTTAGTCAAATCAAGCCAATAAAGAGCAAAAAGCATAGATAATTTCTAATCCTCTTTGGTTTTGAAATCTTAGTTGACTTCTTAAAAGAAACAAATTCATCTTAATTATGCTTTGCAAAGGTTGATGAAACTGTGTTCTCTGAGAACACCCTCAGGTGTAGGACGGGTGGCTTGACGTAGGTGAGGTTCAGGCTAAGGCAAGATGATCTGGAAATAGCCACTCATCAGATCATCTGAAAAGCAAGTATTGCTTAAGTGATAGGGTCAGTTTGAGGTCAGGGTCCTGGGGCACAGGAAGAAGACTGACGGGTTATGTGTGAGAAGCATCGCCACGGTGATAGTCACCTCAAACTAATGCTTTTCCCCAGGGCCCTTTGGGGAGAACACAGCACAGGAAATAGGCTTGGGGGATTTAAAGTCCTGGGAAATTCTGGGGGTTTTTTTGGGGGGGGGGAATGGGATAGGCAGTGTTGTGTGACCTGAGTTTGAAAGTGGCGCTGGATCTCCACAGATGCTGCCTGTGAGAATCTCTAGACGAGTTGTCATTTTGGGTGGTTTTGTCTTTTTCTGTGAAGACAATCCCCCGGCCTATCCCTCAAATTCTAAACTGAATTCTATTCATTTACAGCTGTCAGTTGACTAGCAACTAAATGGTCTGGGTGTTGGTTGCCATGGAAACAGTTAAAAGGCCCATTGCTATGGGAACCTACCATGCTCTGGAAACCAGGGGTCTGGTTCCTAAAAAGTGGAGGGGAGGGGAGAGGGTGGAGCGCAGGTGATGGGTTGCGTAGTTGGCTCCAGGGCCCTGGGAGAGAGGGAGCAGTGTGGTGAGCCTGCTGTGGCAGAAGAGCAGTGACTTCTTCCAGTGACTTTCTGCAGGCATTCTCCACCTGTTCTCTGCCCATTGCCCCATGGTCGCCACAGAGCACAGCTGTTTGCTGTCCCAAATGCAGAGGAAGGGCGTGAAATCTTGGGGTGCTGCTATTCATCTGCTTGGGCTCAGAGAGGGAAAGCCTTGGCTCCTGTCTGCATGGCAGGCTGTTCTCCACACATCGTGTCTCACATGGGCAGCCAGCAGGTAAGAGAATCAGCTTAGCTCTGACTGCCAGTGGGTCAGGCTGAGAAGGAGCCTGGCAGACAAAATGGATGGCTGCTGGCCTTGAACGTGGCAGGGATTCTGGGGGTTCCAGGTGAAGAAGCAGAAGGACAGGCAGGCAACAGCAGTCTGCTTTTAGCATTAGAGAAACGCACTATGTTGCTCTCAAACCCCCTACCCACCCACACACCTCCACCACAGAAGGGGGTACTGCAGATAGAGAAAAGATTAAAGACGAGCTTTGACGGAGGCTCTCAATGGATGCGCACAACAGTTGTAAGATTCTTCTCCGGGTTTTGCAATCAAAGAAAATAACTTACATCAGTGTCCAGTGGTAAGATGACCTACTGAACAAAGAAAACATTCTAGTGGCTCTGCCATTAACTACTGTTAATGTGTAACGTACACATTGAAGGGACTGGGTTAGGTAATCTCTAAAGTCTGTCAGAACTAACAGCTTATGGTTCATTGAGACTGTCAACAAAAGAATGCCCGGCCTATAGAAAAGTTTTCTTCAAGTTCATTTCAGCCAAATTTTGAGGATGTGCTCAGAAGTAAGATGTCGAAGGGTGGAGAAAATGCTCCAAAAATAGCAGTTTTATAGCTTATTTTATACATTAGAATCAAAGGAGAAAATGTAAGGAAAGTTAGATGAAATCCATTAGTGGTAGTTAGGGAAGCAGGAGAAAACAAAGTGGGGAAATGTGTAGAATTGGATAAAAAACAAAATGGAGAAACACATGCTTCTTTCACGTTGGTTGGTACAGGATAGTTAACATTTAACATGGAGATGGTGTGTGGGGATCAGATACCCACTGGGGGCTCTGTGGTCTCATGCTTATGCTTTGAGGGGTCTAGAAAAGAAGATTACGCTGACATTTCAAAGGTGCGTTATCTTAGATGCATAAGAACAACAGACAGAGCCTGGCTGGGCGTGGCTCAGCGGTTGAGCATTGACCTAGGATCCAGGCGATCAGGGTTCGATTCCCGGTCAGGGCACATGCCCGGGTTGCGGGCTGCAGCCGATCAATGCCTCTCTCATCATTGAAGTTTCTAGCTCTCTCTCTCCCTCTCCTTTCCTCTCTCTGAAAACAAAAAAAATATATTTAAAAAAAAAAAAAAAAAAAGATACAACAGACAGAGCCCAGTTAAGGTAAAAACTGGCCTTTGTTAAGGAAGCTTTAGGCCTGGGACGTGACTATCTGCCATGGTCTGCCCAGCTAGGAGTTTATGATCAGACCATCCCATGTGGTACTTTTGGTCACTGGGCTTCTCAGGTGTGCCAGGTAGTGCCCTGCATCCCCAAGTTTGCTACACAGTCTTTTTTTTTTTTTCCATTCACAAGACACTGAAAGGAAGTCTGGACACTATAGGCAAACAGACACAGACTAATCATACCTATCAGAATAAGGAAAATCCCTGGAGTCCAGAGGGGCTTAGGACTGAGACAAGGGCCAAGACATTCATTTAGAGACCATCTCAGATATGTCTGGCCCATGGGGCTTTCACCTGATTCTCTAGAATTCTGAAGTCTATGGTCTTGACTTTCTCCCCTAATCCTGCCTTCTCCTGCCTGGAGTTGTGGGCATCTGCCCCTCCCAGGGAGCTTTAGAGTCTAGGAGCCTGGCACCAGAGAGAGAGAGATGCCACTGGAATTCAAACTGCTCCATAGGTGATTGAGCATCACCCCAGGGTCTGTGGGGAGGTTGGATCATAGTAGTTTATAGATTTCTGTAACATTTCAATTCTTCAATATAAGCTGGCTTTGTATTCCACCTCCAACTGTTTCTAGCTAATTAACTTTGGATAGGTTATTTAACTATAATCTTTTGATTTTTTTGTGATAAGTACTTTTAAGGTCTAAACTCTTTATTTAACTTCTTAAGGACTCAATTTTCTCAGCTGTAAAACAGGATGAAAGTACCCACCTTCAGGTGGTTTAACCATGACCTCAGGTGGTGTATGCAAAGCGCGCTGCCTGACTCTAATAAGCACCTGCTTACAT